ATGGGAGAGATAGTGGTTTGTCAGTAGTTTTAATAAAGGTAGAAGTAAGATCACTGTCATGCAATGAAATTTGTATTTGGCTAAATTATTTTCTATCAATTCTGGTTCTTTCATTGTCCTTCCATTCTAGGATTTTCTTTTTTTTTTTCTTTTCACCTTTATTGCTTCAGTATCTGTTACTTGAAGCCCATCTAATCAGTCAAATATTCTCTAAGCTCTTCTTACTGTTGGTACCACTTACATACTGAATTTAAGACAATGAGGTGAAAAGAAACTGACTTCTCTCATTTTGGATTCTATTAATGACTCAGAAACTTATATTTTTCATTTTTTTTTTGGGTAGACTAGAAGACCTTGAGAAACATCAGTCATTTCTCAGAACACAGGTTTTTTGCCTGAAATGACTCTTCCGTATTGTGAGAATTTCTTTAGAACTGAACACTGAGTCATAATTTAAAAAACAAGAGAGTAATCACTTGTTATCTCAATTTCTCTATAATACTACACAATATTTCATTTGGGATATTTAAATTAATAGTGTAACGTACATGATTGGACTGTAAATGCTTTGGACCGGGTAAGACACTCTTAGTAAGATAACTCAGTTTTTGAGCCCCATTTCTTTGGAAATCTAAATGAACAGCAGAGAAACAGTACACATAACAGTCTGATAATGCTGCAGAACAAAACCATACAATAGGCAGTGAAAAGCTTAGAAAGTGATTTCTGCATCTCTTTAGTACAAGAGGAAGTCAGATAACTGAAGCTGAGTTAGTGGTCTAGTAACTCTACTTTTTAGATACCTTCACAAAAGTTAGGCTTCTAATGCTCCTAAGAATAATAAACACAAGAACGATTTTTTTTTTAAATCTACGTATTCTTTAAGTAAAAAAATGAGCAACATTGTATCTATATTTACAGAACCTCCTTTTTTTCATACCAAGGATACTAATATCTCCTGTTCTGACCAAGTTCTTGATAATAATTGCTATAGTCTTGATGGTTATCCCTACATCCAAATGTATTTGGGTTTTTTCTCCTGTTTTACTTTAAACACAACCAGATAGTTAGCAATAAAGAGATTGTGTGAGGGAGAAGTCTGTAGTCAGATGGAGACGATTAATTGAGCTTTAGATCACACTTTCCATATAAATGAACATTTTCATTTCAAAGTAGTTTTTATGACAGCAATATTTTAGGACAATTAATGTCACCTTAATTCTGCAATATTGAAAAAAAGTGAAAAGGCACCTCTGGAGGTATAATTCTTAAAATGTAAGAAGGTTTGTTGGCTCAGAGTGTATAGTAATCTATAACTTCTTTCTTGCTTGCTGTTCTACTTTAATGTAAATAGATTTCTTTGAAAACTTTCTGCTGACAAGTGAATTTTGTAATCTTAAACTAAAACAAGATTTGTTTCAGGTGTGTATATATATATGTGTGTATGCGCTAATACATGTAACTCAGATAATTTCAATAATATGAATTTATTTTAATTCATTGGCAACTTTAATATATGTGAAATTGTTAAGATTGGCATGTGATGCCAAAAAAGCTTAATGACTGTGGTCATTTTAAAGTACTGACATTTTTGATTACGGTACCCTGGCATTACATTGGCAAAGATACTTCATGTATTGAAATTCTACACAAATTACATGCAAAATGTAGTTCTTTCATATGTCAATATGCTGCCTATGGCTGTAATTATACAATGTGCACACATCACATTAATAACATGGAGGAAATCTGCAGTGCCAGAGGATTCTCTACTATTTGCCATAATTGCTGCAATTAGTAAAAAAGGAAAAAAATGCATTTGCTTAGTTCAACAAAACAAGTTACACAGTATTGAGGAAATAAGAGCTATATAGCTGCATTTCCCAGTATGATGTGAAGTTCAGCAGGGGTCTTGCAAAAATTATGCCTACGTCTTTTCCCATTCTACTGTAAAACTAAAATAAAGCTATTTGTCATGTTGGTAGGGCTCATGCAAATGCCCTTGCCATCTCAGAGTGAGTCCTCTAAAGAGTTTTCCTATTCCTATGCAATTTATTCACCAACTGTTTGAAACCCAGTAAATTGCAGAGTGCAGTTATCCATGGCATTTGTGAATGGGAAACTTGTCTTAGTTCTCACAGCAGTTGTGAAGGTGGGAGAAACCAGATAAGCTTCAGTTAGTCTTACTGGTTTGCTTAAAATGAAGATTAACAAACTAAATAAACCCCTGTAGCCAGAGAAGCCTTGCTTCATGTTCTATGTCTAGTTATGCCATTTCTTAATTGCCTCCACTCCTTTTTCACTAAGACCATAAGTTATTACTCTATGAGCTTTCTAAATCATAAAAGATTGTATCTGTGGGTGGAAAGAAAGTTATATGCAGTTGTCTGGGATCATGAATTTGGTAATGAAATAGAGTTTTGAGAAGTTCACATTTTTATCATTCCTCTTTTTATCTTATTTCTTCTTTTACTTTTTTTCCTGGGTCATGCACCTATGCCTGTCAGCAGTCAGTTACTTTCTTGTAAGTTCCCCAGTATGGTAATTGTTCAAATTAATTTTAAAATATTGATTTTTTTTTTCTGAAAATTTCTGGTCTCAGGTCTTTGCTTTAACATGTCAAGGTATGTAAGTAAATGTAAAATGCAATAATATTTTTTAAAATTTGTTAATTTAATCACAAAATTCATTTTACCTTTGGTTTTGCTATAGAGTCTGTTTTCATGTTAGAATGGTAATATACTTCACTCTGAGTTATCCCAGTTCTCCAGTTCTTCTCGAGGTTGTTTCTTCCATGCATATTATCATTCTACAGTAAATGGAGAGTCTCTGGCTTATGAGCATTGTGCATGGAGTTTTTTTCCCATTTATCAAAATTCTCCAAAACTCATGCAGAAAATCTGAGTCAAAATGTTAGTCTCATAACACATAAGTTACAATATTAGTGATAGGTGCATTGGGAGTTTATAAGATATTAAACTGTGTAAGTGATTTGCTTTCATCTGTAATTTTTTAGTAAATTTCTAATGGGCATGTTACTGCACAGCTCTGTAATTATTGTGGTCCCATTTGATCAGTTGGCACAGCTTCAGGATGGGTAGGTAGTGGGGGAATAATGCTGCTGCACCAGGGTTTGAAGACTTAGCAACTGCTGATGCCAGAAGTTAGTTCAGAAGAAGTAATCCAAGTGCTGTGTAGACAGAATAGTTCTTTAATGACAGTGGCATGACTGAAAACACAGTGTCAAGAGTAAAAGCAGAGGGTGAGCCTTGAGTCACTGTCAGTGATTTTGCCACCACTGAGAAGTTAATTTCCAAGTCAGAAGAGGTTTGCAACACTTAATCGTAAAAAGGGAAGTGAATTCTCCTTTGAGATCAACCACATTAGCCTGTACCAATTATTATCTGTTGTTTTTTAATGTACTGAATATTTTAGTTTTTTTACCATCTCTCTCTGTAATAGAAATGTTAAATTAAGTTGTAGCCAGTACTATTATGCAAATCTCTCAGAGGTTTTCAGTAGTTGTGAATCGTCAAATGTGTTTTTAAATGTTAGCTTTTCTCAGTAAACTGAAACCACTCACCTTCTGTTTGTACACTTTAACTGGATGGAATGAATTCTTAGTTTCAACTTGTATTTATACACAAAACATCAAACTATATACAGATAAACCTATTTTATGTTTGTTTGGAGATTGAGCAATCCCCAGAATTAAATGCTGGAAGCTATTCCCCCATTATCTGAGGAATTATTTTTATGAGTGGAACAAATCTGGACATGGTTAGCTTTGTTTGACAGTACAAATTACATAAAAGCCAGAGGAAATACATATTATCATGTGTTTCTGCTTTTCAATTCATTCTCATAAAAATATTTATATGAAAAATTTCTGTAATTCTTGTTTACATAAAATGATATATTTAGAAATGTTAGTTTGATAAATATTTTTTGTAAATTGAAAAGTAAAATAAAAGAATATTTAAAATAGGACTTATTTTTTAAATATTCAGCCTTCATCATGCAAGAATCTGAACATGTAATTGTACTTTGTATTTCTGAGAACATTTGTTTACATTTTACACTTCCCTCAAGCTGGGGTTGTCAGTTGAATTCTTTCATAGTCAACATCAGTTGTCAGTTCTCAGTCTTGCTAAAACAAGGCTGTTCCCTTTGAGCTCACCACCTTTTAGGACATTACAGACATTTTAGAACCCAGGATTTTTTGTTAATCTAGCTTTAAAGAGAATTATGATGTTTGTATTACTACAGGCTTACTGCTTCACAGGATTTGTTGAGCCAGCTGAGATCCTTTATAACAGCACGGAAGGTTTGGAAGGTGGGAGAATGATGTGAGTGGTGTACCAGTCTCTGTAGAAAACTGTCAGTCGTGACAGTTTTCACTAACTTCCAGTGCAGTAATATTGTAATGGCGTGGTGATATAAATGTCAACTTTGTAACAGCGTCCCTCTGGAAAATCTGAGTGGGTGGATGGCATTTTTTTTCACCACAGGCTGAGCTATCCCAGCTTTTTCAGTTGGTGCAAATGTGACACAGCATAAGTGGAGATGAAAGAGGCTGTTTTCTATGGGCGGTGTTTTGCAAAGAAAAAATATAATTTTTCTATGGATGTGCTTGAAAAGATTTCTATTGTGTTCTTATATTTTCAAAAAGTAGTAATATATTAATAAAAAAAAAATAATTCAGGATTGTTGTAGAATTGATCAAATAATTTAGAAACACAGAGAACAATTGAGTGCTTGCATATATTACCCATCATAAGAAAATACATTCTTTGGTAGATTTTACACTACTTGTACTTCTAAAATAGACTATTTACATAAAATCATAACTACTAGAATATGTGAAATTAATTCAATAATGCAATGCTTAGAACTTGCAAGTACAGGAAGAACATGTACTAATTCCTATCCACCTCCATTGTTACCTTAAGGGCAGCTCTCTCCATAGCAACTGAAAACTTTTCAAGGCAGCAATAAAGTAATCCTCTCCAGCTTCCAGAGCACCATCAAGGAATTTTAAAAACATTGGACTTCCAGCAGCTAAATACTTCTGAGGATTCAGAAGGCCACAAAGCTAGATACACAAGCATTCTTTTTCCCTTCAGAAGGTAAGAAAAGAATATTTAGAAATAAATGCTTATAATGTCCTTGTAACAACAATGCATATTCTTAGTTGCTAACAGTGAAATATATCTAAACACCAAAAGATTTCCTAATATCTAAAAATATACTAACTTTTATCTAAATGCTCATTTGAATTCAACAGTTCTTTTTCAATTGTAAATACTTTATTATAAGAGTTTCCTTTAAAATAAGACACGTGTATCATATTGTAGTTCAAAGAAGATGAACGTATATGTGGCTTACTATCTGAATATGTATGTCGCTGCCCATTAATAAAATCAAAACTTCTGTGGAAAACAGAAACAAACTCTTTTACATTGCTTATGCTTTGATAGATTACTGTTAAAGTAGAAGGAGTGATTTATTAGGAAGGATTGTGACAAGAGAGTCTTTTATGGTACAAAATGTCTTTTGCACCTAGAGTTAACAAGTTAAGCTTGTTTGTCTTGTTTATTCACTGAGTTCTTTGAATGAAATTTTAACCTCAGTTTTGTAATTCTTCCATCTGAGTAGTGGTCACTGATTTTTTAAGTGCATCCTATTCCTTCTCTTTTTTGTGCTGTATAGCTGGATTTTAGTAATGTTGGTAAAGTGTTTTGACAATGTGACCTGCTTTATGTTACTGCTATGTAACATAATTACTGGACATTCATATTAGTATTAGACTAGAAATATTTATTTACAGGGGTTTTTTTTGTTACTAAAAACGTGTTTTCATGATGAAATGAAAGTCAAAGCCATGGTATTTTTCTGTTCTTACTGAAAATAGTTATTAGTGAATGCAATAACATAACACTGAAATGAAAGATATAGACTATTTTTAAGGCAGGGAAGGGCACTTTGAGACAACCTCTTGTTGGTAATTCTAAAGAAGTTTTGAGGCCATGGTTGTCTTAGTTTCCTGCTGTTCTGTGCTGTAAAGCCCTTACAGGCTCCCTGTTGTTAGAAAACAGCTTGTCACTGCAAATCAGCTTAGCCGACCAATTAATAAATCCTTTCGAACATATTGCATTTGCACTAATTAAAAGGTTGGGTTTTTTTCCCCTTTACCATTCAGATTCTTCAGGTTTCCAGTTTAAGCTGTGAAGTGCAAACAGCAATCCAACATTCAGTGCAGGTCACGCACTGCTGGAAGAGGAGATGTGTTTTCTGACCAAGCATCCAGCTCTTGGGGTGGTATGTTCTGCTTTCATATTCAGCGTGCTCATTGCTGAAGGACAGCCTGGGGAAGAGCATGGGCAGGATGGCAGCAATCCTCCCAGCAGAGGCTCTCTGGTGGAAGTTTTACGCATTCTCTCAGCTGAAAACACTGAGCTCCACATGAACCACTCACGAGAACTGGTCAAAATGTTACTGGAGAGAGCTGAGTGCCCACAGCGGATTTATGGCATGCAAGAGGATTGTAATCTGGTTAGTGCTTCAATTAATGAGGGATATCTTTACAGGATCATTAGTGAGTTCTAACATTTGTTAGAGTGATACTGCCCTGAATACAATACCTAAACATGTAAAACACTTGTTAGAGCAAAAAAAATTGGCCCTGCTTTGTTTCATTTTGAATTATTATTATTATTTATTGTTTGACTCATGAAGAGATATTCCAAACATGACAGACATTCCTTTTAAAGTTCCCAAGTGTTTGTTTTCCCATAAAAATTTTCCCACTGAAACCTGGTTTAACAATAAAAGCATGAGCTTGAATTTGTGGCACAGGATTTCCACTGTGAAAAGACAGGTAAACTCTGGGGACTAGTTCTGCCACTTTTTTTGTTGTTCTGGATTTTAGTTCATAAAAATAAAACCCAGACAGGATTGTCTGAGATTTATGTGCCACTTCACTGAAATATTCAAGATTAAGGGGAGGGTTTTGTAAGCAGTTCAGGTCAAGGAAAATGAAAGGCACAACAATGAATCTACAAATCCAAATTGAAACTGGAAGTAGTCCAGGGTACAGTTACACAGAGGGATTGGTTGTCTGCTTGAGAATATTTTCAGAACTCAGTCCTGATTCAATGAAGAAAGGGCAGGGACAGTGTTACTGAGCAACTTAGCTGAAAGGGACAACAAAGGGCTTGGTCAGCTTTGGCTTTCATTACTGTGGCTCTGGAACTGTTCAGTGACCTACATACAGCAGTGTCACTTTATACCGCACTTACGAAGATGGTCTGAAAGGTGAATGCTTTTACAAGGTACTGTTCTAAGCAATCTGCCAAGCCAATGAAGTGGGGATCTTTTTATCCTTTGCAGTAGACAGACACTCGCTTAATTGACCCTTTCTAAAAATGCTTTCATTTTTCATACAAGCCCAAATGTGAAATGTCATACATATATATTGTAGGTGCCTGTCATTACCTAAATGGATAATTTTTTTATGAAGGAGATTATTCACACATGGGCAACAAATGTGCATCAGATATGGGCCCAGATTGAAAATTGACAGTGTATTAAACCTGGGTATATAGTTCTTCTAAACTTCACAAAACAGGGGACTGGGTTTTTGTTTGCCCATTTTGTTTTTCTTTTTGAGTGGCATGGTTTTTCTTGTATTTGTAATGTATTTTTGGAGAGCTTGCCCACTGTGTCCTTGGATGGACAAAATCTAAGAGAAACTTATCTGGGGCTTACTTTGGTCAGTACTGCTGCTCTGTTCAGGTTTCATCTTGGAAATTTTCTATAGGAAGACTTTGAGGACTTTCACTGTTTTCAGTACTCCTCAATGTCGTCTGCTCTCTGTGTCAGAAACACTGCACACACCCTACACTGTCAGTGTTACTGTGCCAGCACCACAGGATCATGGTTTTCTGCAGGAAACCCTTATGAGATACGTGGCATTTTCAGTCACATGGTGCCCACATGGCACTTTGCTGAAATCTTCCATGATGATTTAACAAGGTTTGGTAAACCAAGACAGCAAAAACTGTGCAAGAAGAACTATCCTTCATGTTCATCAGAATTTGAAACAGAATGCCCCACCTTAGCTTGGCATTTTCTTCCTCATACTTGATTGCTGGGAATCACTAATTGATTTCAGATTCGATTTCCCTTCTAAATCCAGGATTCCATTTATACCACATGTCTTTGTTTTCAGACTTTCTTTTCTTTATTTTGGTTTTTATGATATCTCTAATGGGCATTTAAAAGCAGTGAAGTTTAACACTTTCTTTAGACCCTCTTCTGTTTTGTTGTTACGTAGTGGCCCTTAGACTTTGTGGGCAGGGGCTGGCAGCTATTGAACGCCATTTCTGTATCTCCTAAGTACACAACAGTCATATATTTCTTGCATTGGTAAGAAAAAAATTTTTTGAACTTCTGGCCACCTAAACAAAAGAAATTCAGGCTTCTGTGCCCAAGTTCTGGGCTTCTATTTTTTGTAGGAAATAAGCATTTCTAAATCAAGGATGGATGGTTATTCCTGTAAAAATATTAGTAGGAGCAAAAAACCCCCCAAACTAAGAAACAAAAAAAACCCAAGTGACAAAATACTTCATATCCTCTTAAAATCTTTTCAAGGGTCACTCACTATGGGCTACCCATATACTATGGAGTAACTGCATCTTTTACAGTGCATCTGCTTCCTTCTAATTAGAAGTTTTCAGTCATCTTACTTGCAAGAGCAAACAATGCACTCATTGTAATTTATCCTCAATGAATTTTAAAATCTTACAGAAATATTTGAAAATCTTCCACTTCATGCTGTATGTTTATTGTATTACTACTGAGTGTTCATAAAGGCTGGTTGACTGACTTGAGGTCTTTGGGACAGAAAACAGAATAAATTCCTCCTAGTCCAAAGAATAATTCTCAGAGTTTGCATTAGGAAAAGTTAAACTTAAAGACCTTGATAAGCAATGTAGGTAGGACAGGATACAATGAATCATACTGTAATCTAGTTCATGTATAGAAATAGTTAATTTGGCTATTAATATCTATTTAGATTCATTATTTTGAGAATTTTTGTTAGAATTCTTCATATTAAAAAGTAGCAGCTCTCTCAGTTCCTTCAAGGAACTTTGGCTTCTGAACATGACAATATTTGTTTCATTAACCCAGCTTCAGTGTAGGACGGTGACCTAATGTACAAGGTGGGCCCCATCAAACACATCATGCTTGTAGCCACAAAAAATTTATTCTGACAAACTGGATTCTGTCTGGATTCATTAATTTATTAGAATGCAGTGTTGATCCTCCCATGTTATCTCATGTGTTATAGTTTCTTCTCTGAAATGTACAGCTCAGATGCTCTATTACTGTGGAGATTAGCTGACAAATCTATAACGTGCTAGGAAAGGAGTTTGTTAGAAAAAACAGATACAGAATTAATAACATCAATTACAAGATCTCTTCAAGAAAGATTCTTTATTTTGGACTTCAGTGTCTTATTTGCCATAGCCTGAGATAGACCTCTATTAGTCTTCTGGTCTAATTTACAGACTAACTTTTGTATGAGCGGCAAAAGTTTCTATAAAGTGTCTTTATATCAAGAAAAAAAAGGAGAGATAGATAGACAGACAGACAGATAGATAGATATGTACACACACACACACACACACACACACACATATATGTATATATATACACACACACACACATATTAAAAATTCTGTGCTCAGATGTAAAGCCCGCACAGGGTGAAGATGTAATTTCAGTCCCTCTTGAAATGCATTTGAAGGACTAAATGGGGTTGAGACCTTGTGCTGGTTCTCTACACTGGATCTCATTGTTGCATTTAACAGAATTCACTGAGAAACATAAAAATAGCTGTGTGATTACAGGCTCAATTATGTCTCTCAGAAGTGCATTGAATATGGTATAACTTCTGTTTACATAGCCTCAATTGACTACAGTTCAGCAACTGTTCTTATCTTATAACGTAAACACATATAGAATGCACAGATGAAAATATGAATAGCCCTAATTCATAATATATTTGTAACCAGAAGTGTAATCTTCTGAAGCCAGCAGAAGGTTTTGGCTCTCTACAATGATTGATCAGAATTATTCCTAATTGTAGGGAGTCTCAAACCACTAAATCACAGAATTATGGAATAGAATCATAGAATGGTTTGTGTTTCAAGGGACCTTAAAGATCATGTCATTCCACTCCCCATACCATGGCAGGGGTACCTTCCAATAGACCAGGTTGCTGAAACTCCATCTCTAGGACATTTGACTTTTCTTAGAAACAATAGGGGCTCTGCAAAAAAAATCCGCAGTGTGATCTTGCAGCTATAGAACTGCAATGAACTACCTGCACCCTCCTGCCATTCCATTAGCCTGCATCTGTGTAGTTTTGGGTTTGATCCCTTAAATATAGAAGTTGTATTCTCCTGTTGTCCTTCCTGTCTGTATTTGCAAATGCCTGGCAGGGTGTCACTTGAGTTGAATTTCCATTTATTTTTATTTCTTCACAGTGCCTTGAACCAGATGCTTTGTTACTAATAGCTGGAGGAGATTTAGAAGACCATCTCAGTGAAGAAGTATTTGAGAGAATTTCTCTTATTCTTCTCTACTACATTCTTCATCGTAGAGATATGTGTTCTTCAGAATTCAGCTTGAATAATAAGGATTATAAATTTTACCTACAGAGTATGCTTAGTTTAAGACATGATGAAGACTGTTATTATTTTTCACGGAATGAAACTGAAGATATTTTAGCTGCAGTAAGGCAACATTTTAAAACTTCTGAAAACCAGGTAAGGAAATCATATGTAAAAATAGCTTTATCTTTATAAAAGGTATAATGCCTTTATGCTAGTATAGAGACTATGCCATTATCACAGTCCTCAAGAAGACGGTTACATGAAAGTGTCCAAGCACAGGTTGAGCGCTGGTAATGTGTCATATGTGCTCTTTAATGCTTTGTTTCTGCCATGTGCCACTTCCACAGGGTCTGCTGTGAAGTGGTTGGGGAGATACTGCACTTTAGGGACCATTCCTAATAGGTAATTTAGATGCAGTTGCTCTGCTTAGGGCAGATGGAAAAGATCCCAGCTGTGTAGATGCAAGATCTTGCGCTTGGCTTCAAGGACAGAAAATACTTTCTCATCTCTGATATTTGTTAGCATAGATACACATAGATACGCATAGATACACCACCAGTGATCTGAGATCTATTTGAGATATCTATCTAATCTATCTATAAGGTTCTGTTTGAGATTCTTATATCAAATAGGATCTATAAAATAATAGAATAATATTCTTGAGTTCAAAGTCGAAGTGTTTCAATGGTATGAAGCAGAACAGATAGATTACTGGCTGGTATAGGAGCAATAATGAATTATTTTTGCTGTGATGAAATCCTTGCCAGGTTCTACACTTCCACATCTATCCAAAGCTAGACAGAATGAGGAATCTGTCCAAAGATATAGCTTCCTTCAGTTAGAACATATCCATTTGTGACTAATTATCTGCCAGCATGGATATGCCTTGTAGAAAGATTGTTAAAGATAAGCTTAAATTTAAAGTTGAAAAAAAAGCATGTTGAGTATTTTCAGCTAAGATCATAGTTTCTAAGTCAGGAAACATGCTGTGAGTTTTCTCACTGCTGTTTAGAATTCTTTATCTCAAATAAGATCTATAAAATAATAGAATAATATTCTGGAGTTAAAAGTTGAAGGTAAACTTTTCCTTGTAATGGGCAATAAAATAGGTTTTTGCTAGACTAGATAACTCCTAAAGTACAGGTTGAGATCCTGTTTATAGCCACTTAGTTCTGTTCAATGTATTGAGTTAAATTTGGTTTATACAAAGCTCAAATTTGTCCTTTTCATTTCATTAGATTTTAATTTACAGCCTACTGTAGTAGGGTTTTCTGCATAAAAAGAAGATGGGTAGGAGACCTGGCTGTGTCCAGAATATTGAGGGCCTCCAGTTCCTCTCTCTGTCTTCTTTGTGTGGTTGTTTCCCACCATAAATTATTCATTGACCAGTACTTTTGGTTCTGAGTCTTGGTGAACGTGCTGATTTCCAAGGACTCCAATGGTATCTGAGCAACTGTAAAGAGGCATTGGAGAGTATTTGGAATGTCAAGATAGAATAACAACCCATAAAATGCTTTACTGAGGGTTCTGTTTGTTTATGCTGGCAGTATAATCAGTTGTCAAGCCTGTCCAGTAACTGAGACTTCACCACTAACTGACTTGAGGGAAAAGAGGTTTCTTTTATGAAAGGTACACAAAACATAATAGCATAATACTTGGAATCACAACACTTGAGTTGTGGAAAAGAGCCAATGGTGAAGGGCAGTCATGGAAGAACAGCATTTTTAGTGGCTCTTTATGTGCTTTGGTTTCACAGAAAATGTCTTCTTCTTTAGTCATAGCACCTAATATCTTGTTTGAAATGAGAGATTAAATTTTGGGTTGTAAAAATTTTAATATATCGTGAATGAGCAGGAAAAGAAATGGCAGCCACCTCTCTGAAGCATTTATGGCCTACATAAGGAGAGATGAGTATGTATGAAATTAATGACCACTGTACTGGCTTATCTAGACAACTTTTTAATTTTTCTAATATGAGTTAGAAAAAAAATCAAGTAATTTTTTTGCCTTTGTTCTTTTTGTTGTTGTTTTTTCATTCAAATCCAACCATTTTCAGTGAAAATAAACAAGAAAGGAAAAAAGGGAAGAAAATATGAAAAGGGGGATAAATTTCTGGGCAACTGAGAGAGTTTGCAGATTTCCACACACATGGTTGTATACCACTGACTACTGTTTTTATTAGGTGACCCAGCAGGAAAGTCACCCTTTATCTGCAAAATTATATCTTTCCATGTTGTCCCCAGATAACCACTCCATAAAAAACTAATGATTCCATTGAATAGGTAAGGAACTAAAAACATTTAAAGAATTCTTTCTGAAGTTTGAGATGAAGAGTTAAAATCTGTATTATTTCAGCCAATTTCTCATGCCTTAGCAAAGACTCCTCCCCTTCCTTCCACTTTCTGGAAGTAGATGTAGATATAATTGAGGAGGACACTTGGAACAATAGAAACAGTGGGAAAATAACACTAAAAAATAACCTAAATGAAGGACTGTATTTTTTTCCCCATTAGACACCGAGTTAAGTTTTCAAGATTTTTAATTCTATGCCTGTTCTCCTGAAAATGTCCTTTGATTAGCTGTCCTGCTGGCAATTACACCTCACATCTAAGCATTTTTTTCTACTCTGGCTGTCTGTGAAAATGTTCTTCCCAGTTTCTCCTCCTGTCACTGATTATTTAAATGGAGGTGAGCAGGATTGTCTTCATGCTGTTTTCTCCTGATTTCAGTGTGTTGATGTGAGCACTCTGGAGAAAAATGCTGATATAATGGACAGAGATGGTGCTGATGAAAACACTCTTCCACGCCTGGCTGCTTTGATCCTTACTCTGGCTCTCCAAGGAGTCTGTATGGGGAAAGCAAGTTTGCCTTCTCCAGAATTCTTTATAAAATATATTTTCAGTTCTCTAAATAGTACCACTGAGCTCCAAGTGACAGGTAAGCTGGAGTATGCAAAGCTCATTTTCTTCAGGAATATTTATTGCTGGACTTATCAGAAATTCTGCTTAATCATAAATAAATAGAAGTATAGGAGAGCTCTAAGTGCTCCAAAAAAAAAAAAAACCCATGAAACAAAACAAAACAAATGCCAAGCTCTCAGCAGCAGCAGCTATTAATTTCTGTAAAATGGTGTGCCTGCTTAGCAGTTTAAGAAGCTACACCATCTATTCAGGGGCCTGGTATGGATTTAGAAGGTTGTTACAAGACATCTACTTTTCCATTTTTGTGGCAAGTGCAAACAGCAACAGTTTGCAAGCTTTTTAAAGCACTTTTAAAAAATTACATTAAGTATGGGTTAAAACAGATTAAAAAGTTCAATTGAGCATAGGTAAAAACATTTTTAACATTCATAGGTTACACAGAAGTACATTGAATCACTGAAATAAATATTAAAAAAATAATAATCCTCATCCCTAAACTGGGGCTCCTAGTTTGTACTTACATAAACTGGTTTGGCAGCAAAGCCCTTCTTTTAAGATTGCCCAGCCAGATCTTGTAAAATAATTCTTACAAGAATGGATGGAGCCATCTCAGCAGAGTGCTACTAAATAGCTATATATGGTGAAATCTGGGCCCCAGTGAAGATAACAGCAGGACTGTATGGTTGGTGGGCTTAGGATGTCATTCAGAAAAAAACAGAAAAATATTCTTAACCAGTTTGTTACAGGGTAAGTCTATTTTAAGTCTAATCTCATTATATGGTCCCTTTAAATTTATTTAAATTCTTAATAGTAACTGCAGGAAAGAGTAAGAACCTGGAAGCACAGAAAAAGAAAATTAGATTTTACTACATTTACAAAACAAATAGACCTGCAGCTCCATTCAGATCTTTTTGTCTAAGTAGGCAAAAGAATGTAGTGAAACATCTTATCAGAAACCTTTTTGTGAGATTTACCATTAAGATTATACCATTTGCATTTTCTGAGTAACAAGATATAAAAAATAAAGGATTATCATATGGAAACATTCCCATTAATATAAATTTTCTTAAAATTAATTTGTGGACCACTTTTTAATGGACAAATTAAGGTTTACAGGAATTATCGTTAAGGCTTCATTTGAAAGTGCAGAGGTGAAGGAAGATGATAAGGAAGATATGCCCCCTCAAATAACCAGGCATTTCCATCAGCAGAAGCACCCATTGCACCCAAGCTATGTCATGAGGTACATCTGGCGTGATTTCGGATTTGGATTAGGGATCCTGCCTCTCTCCTTCCTGTTTCTGTGGTGTGAGCAGGCATCCTTCCCAGTTAACTGAAAGAGAGAAAAAAATTCACAGTCTTGTGCTGCACTTCTGAAGTTCAAGGGCAGCACAGCATCCTGAAGATTGATTTTCAGGACCCTATAGAGGATGTTTCCTCATCCAAATACCTGAGTGTGACAGCTTAGTGTGGAGTTCCATTTATGCAGGAAAATTTTAAGAACGGTGAAGTTGTTTAGCAATTAATAGATAACTTCATCAGAGATGCTTATTAAATGAAAGATGAATTGCCTTTCAGTCACATCTGTTTTCTTCTGAGGCAGTCATAGGCAAAATATCTCAGTGTGATAGGTAAAGAAGGAAAGGCTGAGGATCTGGGGGTCTGGAACTTCCAGACTTGTTAAGCAGAAATTGCCTCCGGTATCAAACTGAGAACAGGGTATTAAAATGAGGAATTGAATCAATGTTATAAAAAACAAAAAGAAAAAACTATTGTCTTTTAATATTTTGTCTTTTAAGTGTGCATTTTCCCATGGTAACATATCTGTTCTCTAATGAATTACTAGAACTAGAACAACTACTAAATGTGCTTACAGCCAGAAAGACCTGCACTGTAAATGGACAATTTCACAGTCACAAAAGAAGACGTTACAGTATGGCAATCAGAGATATTGGAAGAAGAGATACTCCAGTCAAAGGAAACCATACAAAAGAAGACTATCTGAAAGGCTATTTTGAAGATCGTGAAAGGAGCACAGATTGGGACCAGGTTAATTTTTTTTTTTTTATGTTGTTATAGTGTTGGTGGCAGAATTTCACTGACAGAAGTTTAAATTTATTTTTAAACCATGCAATGTGTCTGAGGTAAAATGTACTAGTTTCAAAAAAGCATGTAGATATGGATGAAAATATATATTTGTATAGCTATATTTGTTTAAATATTAATTGGAGAAGGAACTTTGTGGATGTTGAATGTGCAATTAAAGTCACTGGGAGGAGCTAACAATGGTTAGTATTACATGGAGTCAGGTGTTTATTCAAGATAGAGGACTGGAGTATCATGGCTCTGATGTTTTCATACAGTTGTTAAAGATTTCTTGTGGTTTTATGTCACATGGTTTCTAGGACCCATTAAGTGACCTGGCAGAAAGGATTGTTTTGCACTAAGGGGAAAAAAAGTAAATAAAAGTTTCTATATAAGTTGCTTTTAAAAGACTTCTGTAAATTTAAGATTGGGAATTTCTGAACTCTTTTCATAGCCATCTATGGAATCCACAAGCCTTCTTTAGAAAGTATAAAGGCTGTAAAACCAGAGCCTTTATAGCTGCTCCCCAGCATCCTCTCTGAGGACTTTGAAGGACACAGGCCTGTTGCAGATGATTTTATCCTTATCCTAAGAATTTGAAAATGAATATATTTTTTAATGGCAATGATCAAGATGTTAATTGACTTCCATTGTTTAGACTGGGTGTCATTCCTTAGACAAAAAAGGAGGCTTCAAATTATGTAATTGGTATATATATTGATGTATACATTTGAAATATATACTTCAAATAACAGTTTTCTATTGTTTTTAATCCTTTACTATTTATGTTAACTCAGTGGCAATGTTTCTCCTCCATTTAGGAGAGCTGAGTGACATGCAATTGACTTTTTCTGTGAGGTCATTTTCTGATGGGGAGCTGAAACAAATTTCATTTGGGTAAATGCTGTTCTGATAGATATTTATCTGTGTAATTGTATTGCATTTGAAATACACTCTATCAATAAGTTTATTTCTTTGCAGCTGACCACAAAAAAGGATCATGCTAATCAGCATGATGAAGCTTTTAATGGGGTCTCAAAATAATCTTAAATTAAGGTCATTTTAAATTTGTTTCATATTAATTTTAAATTATGAAGGACAAAAATCAGCAGTGATCCTATCTGTAAAATAATTGTTCTCCAGCAATTGAAGTATTTTTAAAGCACAGTTTTTGATTTTTTTAACTTTTGGGACCGACTGTAACTCAAAAGATAAGTGTGCAAGGGCATTATCTGAGTCTTAGGAGTCAACTGAGAGCCAAATATTCTGTACACATAAAAAAATACCACAAAAAAACAGCTGGACAGAAGATAATTTCTCTTCTGTATTAATTCTTAGTTTCTAAGGGATTTTTTTCCATTCCTGTTCTTTTTAGCTATGCCTATTTTCCTTGATATATTCCATTAGAACACTTCATGTTTCTCTGCTGTGTTGCTAATTTTGTCTCCTGTTTTCTGCACCTATGATAGCCATTGTGCTTCAACAGTAGAAGATTCTGCTACACACAACACTTTGACTCATCTATGGCTTGTGTTTGCTAGCTGCATTAAGATCTGTAATTCAATTTTTGTATCGGAATAATTATTTGAAACATTACCACAGAAAAAAATCACTGCTTTCTTTTAAAGTCATCATTGTCTCTACAATTAAAAATGTATATAAAAAGTAAGTGGCAGATGATCTAAGATAAATAATCTTAAATTCATTAATCTGTGTCACAATGTCTATGTATTAATTTATTCTTCCTCATTAAACAAACATGGATTTTGGAAGCCCAAATAATTCATCCATCCATCCATCCATCCATCCATCCATCCATCCATCCGCCCATCAATCCTTCCATTCAGTTTTTCACATGAAAATATGCAAAATCAATGTGCTTATTCCATTGATATCATCCTCCAGCAGTACACACATAGTTGCTTTTCTAATGGAGACAGTTCTCTGACTCCTTATGTTAAAAAGCTTAAAAGACTAGGCCTTGTAACTAGAAAAGAGGCAGGTCCTCATGCCCCACATCTTATGAGAACATTTTACTAAATAGACCATAACAGCTATTTTTTATGTATGGGTAGACAGTTTGTTTTTACAGATGAGATTTTGCTTTTCATTGAAAATTCCTGGTAATAAATTCACATTAAAATTTAGATTCATAGTAATCCTGGACCTCATCTTGTCTATTGTACTTTTCAAAAAAGAGACAGCTTCAAAGTCAGATCAGGTTTCACAGAGCCATGTCCAGTTGAATTTGTTATGTCTCCAAAAACGAAGTTTATACAGTCTTTTTTGGGAAACCTATAGCAGTGCTTTATTGCCTTTGTCTTGATGGACTTATTTATTATAGCAAATTGGAGTTTTTTGTTGCTGCAACTAATACCTTTCACCTTTCATTCTTTTGCTGTATGCCTCTGAGAAGGTTATCTCTGGTTAACTCTTCCCTCTAAACCACCTTAGACAGTTGAAGACTTAAGATACCTGCCAACCTTTCTCTTCCTAAACTGAACAAACCCAGGTCCCTGAGTCTCTCCTGGCACATCATGTGCTGCAGTTCCCTAGCCATCTTGGTGGCCCTCCACTGGACTTCCCTCAATTTGCCAGTGTCGTGCACTGCTGGTTATTGAGCTGGACATAGTCCAGATGTGGACTTCCATGTCCTCAGTGGTGGGCAATGTTCTTTCTCCAGTACCTGCTGGCTCTGCTCTTGCTCATGCAGCCAACGCACAATTAGTGGTCATTGCCACAAAGGCATGCTGGTGGCTCATGTTTAAGTTTCCTGTCAGGACCTACCCCAAGAGCTTTTTCTGCAAACCTGCCTTCCTTCTGGTAGTTTTCCCTAGCCTTTATTGTGGCATGGGGTTATTCTGTGTGAAGCACAGTAAGTTTGGCTTGGCTGATCTTCATGGAGGTCTGGTCAGCTCTTTTCTTTATCATGTCAAAGTCCCTCTAAATAGCAGCCACTCCCATTAGCATATGGACTAGTGGTCCCAGTTGAATTTCACCTGTGATTGCCATCTGGTGCACTCTGTTCCATCACTCCAGTTGTTAGTGAAGGTGTTCATATCATCCCTGCCCTGACTGGTCAGCAATGCTGCTCATAACCAGCCAAAATCCTAGTCTTCCTAGTTGATACCAGATGTCAGTGTTCCCTAGTTCTGAGTCAAAACCACTGCCTAGAACAGGCAAAATTAAGGTCTCTTCCAATATGGTAGCTGCTGAATTGTCTCCATGCTCTCCTTTGGCTTTAAGGCAGCACAAAGTCCACATGACAAACTCACCCATTATCCTGAAAACTTGAATGTGGTTTTCAGAAAAAAATATATCAGTGCTCAATTAATTCAGTTTCTTAGTGAATCACAAGACATATTTTACTTAACTAATGGATAAACAAAGGCAGGAATGTTTTGGGTTTTAACTGGGTTATTTAAAAGTAATTATACATAACAACTTCAAAAGAAGCTTAAGCTTCAGAAATGAGAGAAAGAATATTTAGGAATCCCTTGAGTCTCAGAAGCAGACTTATTTAAATGAAAGAAAATTATTTGTTTTTAAATAATTGAATCACAGCTCATCAGGTGAAATTAAGAAGATTATTCCTTTAAGTAAGATAACATATTTGATCTGGAGTTCTTCTGTTTAAAAGTGTTAACAGAAATTTTCAGTAGAAGTTTTCTTATGTTAACTACTCATGCTTTTACTTGAAGTTTCATCCTGAAGAGGAATGCCCAATTTTTCATGAAAATTTTTGAAATATGAATGCTTCCATGAAAAATCGCTTCTTTTGACAAAGAGATGCTCCAAACAAGAACAAAAAGTTGTTGGAATTCTGAATTACCTCTAATAATACAATTATCGAACAATGTTTTAACCACTTTTAGACTGTGTAATAGCTAGTTTGCTGGCACGCCCTCATTTCATGAATTAAGAAAGCTAACTTATGTCCATATCTTACTTAAGAACCAGAACAAGGACGAATCTCAGTATTGCTTTGATGTAGGCAGTATCTTATATTAATAACACTATTACTGAAAATAATGTAGTTTCACAAGATTAGCTAAGAATATGGTTCATATTAGTATTAAAACATTTTTCTTGACACATATAACAATAAAATATTGAGAGATATTATTTTGTAAGATCTTTATGACCTTAAGTGGCTTCAACAGAAATTGAGCAGCTTTATCCCAAAGATGCTGGTCTTTCTGATATATATAGTAGTATCAAGTTTACCAAAAAAAAAAAAAAAGTGAAGTAATTAAACTAATTTAGGAAAAAAATAGTATAGATGTATAGAAAGTTGCTTCTAGGGCTGGACTGTCCTGTATTCTTCTAAGATTCTGTATTTAATCTCCAAATTAAATGCAGGTATATGCAACATGTTTAGTAACTGTGTATACTTCTCTACAAAGGTTTGTTTCTCTGCCAATGAACTTGTGAAGATATTTTTGAAAAACAGTTCTTCCTCCATTTCTAAGGACCACTTCAAGCAAATCAGTCCAGCTATCATTCAACAACTTTTAAGTTGTTCATGTCCGCTTCCTGACTTCAAACAGACAAAGCTTCCACCAACAGCTGTGGAAAGTGAGTTATGTTCTTATTTATAATTTATTATTTAAATTCAGAAAAGAGGTGCAAGGACTTCTGTAATAATTTAATTGATTAATAAACCAAAACATGGTATTTATGCTATCTGTAATTTATGCATTCTATAGTTTCATAGCATACATGTCAGATAATAGTATTATATTGAGAAGTGAGGGGATTCAATGGTCTAAATTTTATAGTATTTGAAATTCTATTTCAACATGCAAGGTGTTAAGCTCTCTTTCTTCATTTGTTAGAGGACTGATTGATATTGCCAGCAGGTAGGCAATAACAGGTCCTCATCTATGGATTGCTGGGCAGTAAGGGCTTATTTTGTGAAATTTGCACCAGGTTTACATTGTAATCATTGCATTGCTCTTAGATATAGCTTCAAGGTTACATTAGCTGGTATTTTATACCATGATGTGGTAAATGCTTGATATAGGTAAGTTTTGCATGAATGCTACTGGTGTTTCAGTTTGTGGTATTTTATAGCAGAGGTTTTGAGGATACTATTGCGGTAAGAAAAACATTCAGAAAAACGGTGTCAGGGCAGCAGGACCTGTGTGATAGAGCTGGAACAAGAACTGATTTAGGATATAATTAGGTTGTTTCCACTCGCAGTTGTAGCCCTCGCGTGCCTCTGCTTCCAGTGTTTTCTGCCCCACCTGTTCCATGGATTCCACTTCTCCTGTAGTCAATCCTTATTCCACCTCATAAAAGAAAAATCTGAATCTGAGCTGACCTAAAGGCTTCCTAATGTGTTTTCTGGGTTTTTTGTCTTACTTTAAGCCAATGATATCTGGGAAGTGGTTACAAATAAAGGTGTGCTGGTGTAATAATAGACATTGAAATGTAGACAAAAAGGTATAGGCATCTAACCATAATTGCCTGCATCTAGAGGAGCACTTTCTAGGTTACAAATTAATGTCTTCAATATCTTTATCTTAATATCTACATGTCCAGCTTTAGATGACTAGGTCTGTTTTGGAGCTAGTAAGTTTTCCCCATATCCTGCTGCCCAATGATCCTTATGGAGCAGCACATGAATTAAAAAGCATGAAAGGACACATGTGGATATCCCAGAAGTAAAAAGCATGGGGAAACACTCATGGATATCCCAAGAATTGTTATAGTAGAAAGAGGCTTACAGAGTAGGAAGAATCATTATGGATCTTCAATAGGTAGCAGTCCTTTCTTATCTTATCTCTCTTCTCATTACCTGAACACCTTGCAGTCTTTACTGCTTTGATCTTTTCTGTGCTATACAGATATGACCATTTTTTTAGATCGGGAATCAAGGGACAAAGAAAGAAAAGAAAGGAACTTACCCAGGTCACGTACAAGGTTCATAAAAAATTCACTGTTAAGTGAGATTCTTCCAAGTCTAAAGCCATCAGCCCAATCAATGACATTTTAGTGATCTCATAAAGGTGAGAGATGAGAAAAATTGGACTATTCAAGTGCAGAATGGAATTAATAAGAGCCCTTTCTGCAGCCCTTTCCCAGTGCTTTTTGACAAAAGAAGGTTTCCATGACCACAAGGACATTTCTGCTTGTTACAGTCTTGATACAGATAAAGGACTCCATGTTTGACCCATGTGTGACCTGGTGACCTGAGCATAGGCTCATTAGTTTTATTCTGAGCTCTATTTTACTGACAGGCTGTGCTGTTTTGGCCAAGTCACCAAGGCCTGACATTCCATATATATCTACTATACTCTTGTATTTGGATGTGCAGTCTGTGATATTAACTGTCTGATTTTATGAGGTGCTGAGCACTTTCAGTGCTATTAACATTTGAAACTGTTAAGTGGCAGTTTTAAATATTTTGGCATTAATTCCTTTATGTGTGTTTCTTATCAGTGTTTTACGTCCTGTTATAAGACTTCTATAGAAATTAATTGGGATTCATGTTGTGCAAAAGGTTGGAAATGTGAGCAGTGTGTTATAAGACTAACATTCAAAAGCATCCCAGTAATCTAGGAAAAATAGACTGGTGGTCCTGGTGTATTAACTGAAGGGATGTATTTCCACAGATTTGTAAATATAATTTGGACTGAAATGTTTATGTTTAAAACCTCAATTAGATCACTATATTCATTTGAGGTTTTAGGCCTTCATTTATTTACAGAAAATGATTTGTTAAAAATGTGGTTTTGACTGTAAGGATACATAGATGTGGCATGTGAGTACATAGAATCTCAAGCATAAATCTGTTAATAGAGGAAGCAAATGCAGAGCAGTATTCACTGTGCTGCTCTGAGTGTTTCTAATTTGCATAGCCACAGTCTGTTTGGCTCTTAAGGTCTGAAATTTGAAAGTACCAGACTATCACATGTAAAGCCTGAAAAAATGAACGTTTTCTGGGCTCCTAATTCTGTCATCCGTTCCTAATTCTGTCATCCGTTCACACATGACTAGAAGAATCCTCGTGGCTGTTGTGGCTTAATCCCAGACAGAAGCTAAATATGAAGTAGCCACTAGCACACTCCCCCAGTGCCGCCTCCCACAGGGGTTGGGGAGGAGAACTGGACAAAGGTAAAAATCCATCAGTTGAGCTATGATCAGTTTAATATTTGAGATAAAGTAAAATATACAATTCATGCTACTCCTCCTACTGCTACTACAATTAGTAATGGAAAGGAAGAAGAAAAGAGAGAGAGAAATAAACCCCAAGATAAACAAGTGATGCACAATACAATTGCTCACTACCTGCTGACTGATGCCCAGCTCACCCCTGGGCAGTAGTCAGCCCCTGCTGGCTGATTCCTCCCAGTTTCTACACTGGGCATGATGTTCTGTGGTGAGGAATATCCCTTTGGCCAGTTTGGTCAGCTGTCCCAGATGTGTTACCCTCCTTCCCCAGATTATTGTGCAGTTCCTCACTTTCAGAGCATGAGACACTGAAAAGTCCTTGACTCAGGGTAAGTACAGCTTAGCAACAACCAAAACATCAGTGTGTTGCCAACGTTATTCTCATCCTGAATATAAAACACTGCACTGTACCAGGTACTAGGAAAATTAACTCAATCCCAATTGAAATCAGAGAGTACCACAATGAATCACTTCTCCTGTGTGCTTGTGTACAGAGGTATGAGAACATACCCTCAAAAACAATTACAAATAAAAAACAAATACTCAAACACAAATACAAATATTGGATGATTAAAGGTGCCCTTGTTTTCATTTGTTTTCCCCTACAGAATATGGTTACAGCACTGTTGCTGTTTTACTTATTACTATTGGATCTATGTTTGGTACAACTCTCATTTTATTTAACTCCTGTCAAGAAATCTATACACTCATTTTACAGCTGTTTGTCGGTTTGGCTGTTGGAACCCTTTCTGGAGATGCATTGCTGCATCTTATTCCTCAGGTAAGTAATAGACCCTTCTGTGCTTTTGAAATGTTGACACATAATGTGTGTGTGCACACATACACACAGAGAAAGGTTTCCTTTAAATCTGGATAATGCTCATCAGTTTATAAATAAAGCTTTCCATGAAATCCCTGCAGCACTCCAATTACATTTGCACTCTGTAGCTCAGAGAGAGATTAAAAATAATAAGTAGAAATCCATGATTCATGAATTCAAGGAAAGAAAGGTTCCTATTTAAAAAAAAATAAATCAGAAACCCCACAAGTCCTGTGGAATGCACGTTCTAGATGGATATTAATTTATTTCATGAGGAAGAGTCTGTAACACATTTTAACAGAAATTGTTCTAAGGTTGTATGAGGCATCCACAGTCCCCTACACAGATGGTTCCAGAGAACCAGGTGTTATCAGCCTAATTAATCCTGATGCCTAGAACTGTAATAAAATGTGTGGCATGATCTTTTCCTAAATTCATAATCTAAATTTTAAGAACAGGATAACATGCAAGAGAGAACCACATTTTCCATTGTGTATTCATTTATTTTTAACGGTCTCCTCTAGTATGAGACAGATGTTATGAGTAGACTTCTAGTGGCCACAGAAAGAGAGCATCGCAGCTTCACTTAAGATTCTGGTTAAAATTTTCTTTATGCTCAATGCATCAGCTCTGGAAGCAAAACTGGGAGAGTGGTTTAAGGAAGGCAATTCTCATTGAGAGTCAGACAAATGCACTTCTTTCAGCAACACTTTTTAAAAATGAGAAAGTATTCTTCACTAGTTTTAAGTGATATATCCAGTAACCTTTATAGCCCTCACTTTCAGAGCAAAAGAGGGCTGCTGTGCTGTTACACTAGGGGAAAGAAGGAAGCAGACCCACCAACAGAAATGCATTTTTGCATTAATTATCCATTAATTAATGTATGCATTATTTTCACAGAATCACAGAGTTACAGAATTACAGAATAGTTAGAGTTGGAAGGGATGTCTGGAGATCATGTGGCCACTGCCAAGGCAGGATAACCTAGAGCAGGTTACAAGGGAATACATCAAGGTGCTTTTGAATGTCTCCAGAGAGGGAGAATGCACAACCTCCCGTGCCAGTGCTTTGCCACCCTCAGTGTAAAGAAGTTCTACGTCATGTTGGGTTGGAACTTCTTGTGTTTTAGTTTATGACCATTGCTCCTCATCCTGTTGCTGGGCACCAGTGAAAAGAGTCTTACACCACCCTCTTGGCACCCATCTTTGAGATATTTGTATGCATTAATGAGATCCCCTGTCAGACTTCTCTTCTCTAGACTGAACAGGCACAGTTCCAGCAGACTCTCCTCATAAGAGAGATGCTCCAGTCCTCTAAATATTTTCGTGGCCTCTGCTGGACCCTTTCCAGTAGTTCCTTATCTATTTTCAATATGAAGCTTGCATATTAAAACAATGCAGGTAATTTGTATAGAATTTTAACATCAATTTATTGCAAACAAAATATATCTCATATATATAAAGGGTGATTTCATAAAACTGTCCCTAAAAATATTGTCACTTTCCCCACTGAGACATGAAGTGTAGCTGTGCTCTTAATGACTCATTTCATCCTCTATTATTCAGCTGATTATTTCAAAACACAATTTAACCTTGAAAGAACTGGGAAAATAAAATTCTGAGAATAAAATGAATTAACACATTATGACTCGCCTTAGCAAAAATTAAAACATTGCCATTTTAATTTTTTTAACTTTATCTCTTTTATTTTAGACTCTTGGTTTGCATAAACATGAAACACAAGACATAGAACATTTCTATGAGGGAAAAGAATATATTTGGAAACTTTTAGGAATAATTGGAGGAATTCATGGATTTTTTCTGATAGAAAAGTGTTTCTTTCTTTTGGTAACACCTCGTGACCAGGTAAAGCTTTGTAAAATTCACCCTTTAAAAAACTCCTGTATTTTGAGATTTTGCAGTGCACAGAATGTTAAAATGATTGTGGAAATTAATTATAATTTCTGTGAGTTAAATGAAGCATTGATAATTGCTTTCCAAAGTGCTCCTACTAGATTGACCTTCAGTTTCTATTTTGCTTTGCTCTGTGGATTGTGCTTGCTTCATGAGTGTGTTCCATAAATTTGTAATTCCAGAAAGGGAACAGTTAATTAATCGTGTTCCATAAGCCTGCATTCTTAACTCACACTGGAGCAGGTGAAGAGTGTGTATCCATATGAAATAGCAGTGACAGCTGTTTGCTCTAGGCTCTGTTTGAAAAGGAGAAAGATGCAATAGAAAGATAAATGCAAGCATCAGATATTTTCAAGAATGAGATCTTAAAATTTCCAAATTGTTTTTGATCCTTATGCCAGTGATGTGAAAATCTAATATGTGTATTGCAGTCAGTAGGACCCAATCTTACAGTAATTCTATTACTTTATTTCAGTATGGCCAGAGCCTGAAAATATGATTATGCACAAGGATAGAATGTAGCACAAAATGTGACGGCTCATTAAGTTTCTCAGCATGAGAGACAATCCTAATGTCACTTAAGAAGGCTAAAACTTTGCTTGTTCTGTTCTACAGAGTGTGTGAAGATTGGCCTCATTTAGATACAGAGCAATGACTCCCTATTCCCACTGCCTTTGAGTCAGCCGTCAGAATAGAATGTGAGATTAATAGAACAAGAGTATTTTGATGACAGTGACATTTTATTTGTTTGGTAAAAAGAAGTCATTTTTGTTACTTGTTTGAGAGAAGAATTTTATCATCCCACAAATTTTTAAAGTTTTTCTACTGAGAACTAGATGAATCCTCAGAGTTAATTTTTATATCTATCTCAGCTTAATTTCAATTTAATTTTTAAAATTAATTAAGTTTTATCAAGCCATTGTGGTTGTCACTGATTTATCTGATTCACTTTTCAGGATTTTTAACAACATAAGCATTAGGAAATGTCAATGCCAACCAGTGCTCTTTTTCAATAGATTTTGTTTGGAAAAAAATAATTCTTAAAAATGCTAAATTTTCACAAAAGACAGAAATGCTGCATCTGTGTTCATTGGGTTTCAGAACTAATTGCAAAGCATCTTCATTCAGCAGGGCCTTTCTTTAGTTAATGGGCACTGGGGACATTCCCATGATCTTCCAGTGGAGTCTGAATTAAATGAACATTCAGGCAGAGGCAAATCTACTTCAACCATACAGTTGGTAGGTTACCAATATGACATACTTCCCTAAATTTATATTCTTCTTTCTCTGTTCCTCAAAAGAAATGAACAAAATTAATGTAATAAATCAGTATTATTTTTCAGCCTTTATTGATTTATTGCTTATTACTTGACATGATTGTCAAGAATCTCTAGATTTTGAAGTTTATAATGAGCTTTCCCAGAGATATCAAAACCAGATATTTTACAATAACTTTTCTTAATTGTGTATCAGATTGATATAACAATGCACTTCCTGTATTGTTATACATTTTGTTGATAAAATTCTTGAAGATCTTCCTCCCTTGTTTTTAAATATTGATCGTATGTAAAGACAGACTCTCCCTTAGGAAAAACTTCAGAATTTTGCAGAATTTCCTGCAATGAGAGTTAAGTGCATAATTAGTAAACAGATCAAATCCTGGACTGTTCTTTGAAATTTTTCTACAGATTTGAAGAGTAATGTAAACACTTTGGATATCTGGGAATAGTGCTTACCTATATCTACCTGTCTGTGCATAGTACCCAGACAGATAAATCTTTGCAAATTAAATAGAGTCATAAATTTTACCCTGTTTTCTCTTTCTTTCAACAAATTGCTTCAGTTTATACCCAGTTTCTTGATGCATAGGTGAACTCCATTTTACAAATGTAGAGCCTCACAAGTCACCGTTAATCTCTAAAACACTCTTGGAAAACTCTCAATAAAAACCAGATCAAACAGGGGAATGATGTGTGTTCACGGTTTTGTGAGACACTTCAAAGTTTCTTGTTTACAATAATGAATGAACATGTCATTCCCTCAGATGCAAGAACCCCCTAAAGTTCTATATAGTTCACATTATCTATATAGAATTAGCCTGGCTGAGCTGGTTTGTACAAAAGCAGCCAATTTTTCAGAACCATGTGAGTAATACTAAGACAAACACTGGTTGACTAAGAAAAACTTATAAATCCTTCAGATTAGTAATTAGTCTTGCAGTTTTGATTCACAGTTCAAAGAAGTGGCATGTGAATAAATATTATAGGAGAAGTGGAACAATTACTGGAATTCATATGACTGGCTGCAATCATGGGAATTAGAGACATTTATCTTTCCTTTAAAATGTAGAATATGGGAAACTGCAGAAACAATTCTTTTTCCTTCTCTCTCATGCTTCTACAGCACATGTCCTTCCTCACAACCAATGACCAACCAATAAACAAATTGTATTTTGTAGCCAGTGTACATCTCTGGTACAGCTTTTGGAGTGGTGGCTGCTGTCCCTAACACAGAGCTCTTGTGCTGCTGTTGACTCCACTGGCTGCCATAACAGGTTTTAACACACTTTTTTTGGAAAAAAAACCCTCTGAAATTAAAATTCAGTCTTTCTAGTTTCAAGCAAACAAGTCTTTTGTTTTTCTCTCTCCCTCACATGAATTTCTATTAATTTCTCCAATCAGAAAGCAAAGCCCCAAGGAGATAGGGACAGTGAGAGATTATTCGTGTTCTCCCTTATCTCCCAACAGTTGCAATATCTATTAATTAAATGTTAGTGCTGGTGCATCAATTTATCTCTCTAGGATAAAGAAGAAGACACTGTCTCTTTCTTCACTTGAAGCAAGGGTAAATTTTACCATGGAGTGTACTTAAGTGCTGCTATGCCCAGCCAGTGCTGCCTGGTGCTGAGATGAAGCCGTTGCTAAAAGCCGAGACACAAGACACCGGAGGCTGCACCACCCCAAAGAAAACCCCCTATATTTTGAAAGGGGATGAAACCTATTGATGATCATCTTTTTTAGTTTTGTCTTTTCACAGAGAAACTGTGAACAACACGAGTCCCTAAAAGATTGTACTTTTTTTTCCCTGGATATCCTATGGACACATTCTCCAGGAAAATACAGCCATCTATTTGACAAAATCAAAACATGCAATTTTAATTATAATGTCCCTTCTAGGCTTGCATTTGGCTCAGATTTTTGTATATTCAAGCAGAAATGTGGTTTTCTTGGGCTACAACAATGCCTATGAATTACCTGAATTAGGCTTAACCCTCTTTGGGCAAGGGAGAGATTTCTATTTTGTGTTTCTGCAGTACCAATCACACTGTCAGTGGCCAGTAAATTATTGTAATGATATCTGTGCAAATAACCATTGACTATCTAAATCAAATAGCTTGAACTTAATTGATGTTTACCTGTATTTATGGGAGCAGCTGGAAGAGATTCTTAACACTGATCCATTATCTTTGCTTTTAACTAGAGGAGCTCAGAAGATTCTGAACCTGCTGAAGTTCCTCCAGAGAGCAAGGTGATCAGCAAAAAAAGTTAGTATCAATAAAAAACTAGACAAGACAGGAAGATCCTTCAGACCTAAGATGTAATTGAATGTGTGCAGCTGGCTTTGCTGTGTGTTTGCTGTGCACTACATCACCACATCTGATGGTGCCTGGCTACATAATTTAATCTCTGCTTTAAGACCTTCTCAGCTGCCAACCCTGTAATTGTGAAGTTCCTTAATCTTACACTGTCCTTGCTTTAGTATTTACTGTCTCACTGTTGCAATCTGTTTTGCTAACACCTTTGCTTAAAGGAAAATTGTCAAAAATTAATACAAAAGATATTTTTATAATTTTAAACTTAGATCAGGCTTTTATTTCTGAAGGTGGTGAAAGATTTTTTTGCAGGCTCTCTATGCTAATATAATTCTCTGTCCTTCTCTTATTACACAGTAAAGCAATAGACTCTTTAAACAAGTAATGATTGATCACAGGTATGGAATTACAGAGTCATGATGGCTCTCACTTTTAGAGTAATCTGTTTGCTTCTGAGAACTTCAGATAATTCCTGTCTTCTGGTTTTTTGCTGCTTAGTAAAAATATGAAATAGAGCATAAACCAAATTTTGCCTTTAACTGTACTTCATGACGTTGGTGAATTCAATAGAGTTGCAGTCATCCAACTGAGGGAATAATATTTTAATTTACATCAATTTATTTACTGTAATTAACTCCCCCTTATTTTGTGATCTCAGATCTCAAGTCATCAGTCAATCATTATTTAATTGTGCCATTATCTTCTTCTAGGTTCTTAATGTTCTCTGCTGTTCTTGTGGACTTCATTTCTATTTCTGAAGCATTAGAAATCTGGTTTTCATTTCTTCACTTTCACCTCTCCGGTAGTACACAGTCCAGTTTGAACGTGACTATATAGTTCATCTCTATATATTTCTGTTTGCTTCAATCACCATTACCTGCTAAGCACCAACAAATTTCTAGTGATCTCAATGTTATATGTTCCAAGTAACTAAATTTGGGATAGCTTCTCAGTAATCTATGTTTAGTTTAAGTTTTCCTCATAGCTCAGTCTTACCTCCAGAAATGAAACCTTAGTAGTGAAGGGCAGGAGGTTATTTGGCATTTTTGGGGGAATACATAATTACAAAAGTTTGTTTCATTACAGTTCTTTTAAATAGCTAAGTGCATAAACATAACCTAAGTACCTTAATACTGAGAGAGATATTTCTTCCCCAAAACTGAAAGGAATCTGCAGTCTAAGAGAAGCCTGGCAACTCCAAAACTGTAAAGCTTCACTGTAAATGCCTGTCAAGTAGGACTGCAAAAAGCATCAATCACCATAGATAGGAAGTAACTGAGAAAGTAAGAAACTTTCTAAGTTAAATGATGTCTGACAAGCTCTCTCTGCATTTATCCATACTTGTTCTATCAATATCAGAGAGGACCACACAGTAGCATTTTATATTTTTTACACTTAGCGACACTTTACATTGACTAGAAATATTTTTTCTGTGTTTATCATGGAAACATTGGAAAAGATCTATTTATGGATAAATGTTTGTTTTAAACTCTTATTCTAAACTTAAGAAGTGTAGTATATGGTTGAGGTCCTGTACCCATTAGTTTCATGAAAATTATAGAATAGAATTTGCTATGAGTTCTGGTCCCCCATTTAAGCAAAGAAAAAAAGAAAGTAATATTGTTGGAGAAGAAGAGACTTCTGTAACTATTTATTTGTAGAAATAGTTAAGCTAATAAGTTAATAGTTTGTGTTGGAATATAATGCAGTGAGATAATTGCCAGTAACAAAGCTGCTTTAAAATAGGCTGAAAGTAAAGTAAGATAAACATTCAGATTTGTTTATACATGCATCTTCTGAACTTTCTGTCAAGTAAGTTCACAAAGCTTATATCTGTAATTGCTCCACAATGTTAATGTGATCCCTGTGTTATACTAAAACACACTGGAATGAATTCCAGTAATCATGGTATATCTTCTTCAGTAATCAGATACTTGAACAAAACAGACTAATAAGACCTCAGGGCAGGCCATGATTTCAACCTTGCCAGCGCTTATTACAAATCACAAATTTAATGTAATGCAGCAATCTATTATTTCTACGTAATTCATGCTCTGCACTATTGATTATAAACTGCTCATAGTGTTTAGAAAGAACTGTGCAAACTCAGGACATCCACGTCCAGCTCTGTAAGCTGGCAGTAAAATCTAACAAGCCTGCCAATTTCTCTGAACCCACAGAGCTCCCAGACAACCAGGGAGGATTTTCTGAATATGGTTGTTAGGCTTTTATGTGCTCTGTGTGTTTTTCATAATAGTCTGAAGACTTCAGTTCTAGCCAGGTTCTGTAAGAAAAATATCTCCCCCATCACTATAAAATGGCCATCTCTGAGAAACATTACTGGACTGAAACCTGGAAATAACTGTATTCAGACAGATTGGTGCAGCTTCACATTTTCTCCTTAGTCTGTCATACTATGTCTATGTGGGGTCACCAAAAGTAAGAAAAGTACATATTTAAGGCCCAAATCATGACTCTGCTCCTTCAGGCATGAAAACAACCTTTTCAAAGTGTTCTGTCCATTCTGTGTAGAGGGAAGCTGGATGAGTTTCTTGACAGACATTAGGCAGTTGTGACTAAAACTGGATAAAATTAATGAAAAAAAGTACAGGATGGGGCAGCCAATTATGTGTTGCTAAGTTTAGACATTGAATCTATACGGAGTTTTGCTCCTTCTTGAAGAGATAAACTGCCTCCCTGTGAATCTGTTCAGCATTCCACCCAGCTGTCTCTGTTACAGGCTGGGCAGAGAGATTGTCCCTAATTCCCTGGCTTAATTTCAGTATGTGCATCACTAGTAGCACCTTTCTACTCATGTCAGGTGATGTGGTGCCATGAACACCCAGTACACTGTTCCACACTAAAACAAGGTCACAGAACAGCATGGGAAAGACAAACTGCCATCTCCACCCCTGAGTGCTGCTCCATATAGGGGTACTATGAGCATAACAGCCATTAATTGATTGGAACAAATGTTGGATATAAGTATGCTGTAACTGTGTACTATAAGTGATACTCTGAGGCTTGCTGTCTTTAATTTCTATCTTTCACTGTAATACAATTGCATAAAAAACCCCAGACCCTGCAAATATTACTCAGTAGTAGCAAGCTTTACAGGATTAAAACAATCAGCTACATGAGACCAAATATTTATCTTCCCTATAGCTGTGCAATTCTGTAAGCAATGGTGGAAGAACTCCAAATAACAACTAGGAAAACTTGTGTGAATTTTATCAGATAAAGAAAGATTAATAGAAAGCCTTAGGATGCTTCAGGAGACTGGACTCAAACCTAATTTTTTGTCTAATAGTTGACCTAATAAGAATAAGGAAGTTATTCCCTGGTATTTGCATCTCATTTTGAATTGTTCTGGAACCTACTTTTTTTGTTTCAAATTTATTGAAGGAAGTGTAATAAGAAGGGAAAATCAGATAAATACTATTTCCCTCTGATTAATATGACTTTTTGTAATGTTATATGCAAAGTCACCAAAAAACTGAAATAATTTATAATGTAACAAAACTGGCAATATCTGTTTGGGTTAATACTGGACTTTTTATCTGTTTGTTTTTTTCCTTCTTTTTTGAGGTAAAAAAATCAGCTTGTTAGCAATAATGGTTCTGGTGGGTGACAGTCTTCACAATTTTGCTGATGGCTTGGTAATAGGAGCAGCATTCTCATCCTCAACAGAAACAGGTGTGACAACGACGATTGCTATTTTATGCCATGAAATTCCTCATGAAATGGGTAAGAAATATATGTGTGTATTTTTCCTGATTGACTTTGCATTTCCAGGTTTCCCAAAAATTTCTTTCCTGTATGACATCTGTGGGAATTCTTGCTTAAAACATCATGCATTACAATGTTACTGTGTGAGACTGATACTTTCTTTGCCCTTCACAAAAACCAGAGGAGGCTTCTGCACTCATTACGGGATGCCTTCCTGATGCAAATGACATCAGGTCAGGAGTGACCTGTTATTCTTATGTGTACTGACACAAAAAGTAATAAATAAAAAGAAAATAATAAATAAATTATAAAATTATTAATATATTATATATCAATTTAATATAATTAAATATTTCTAAAGTAATAAAACCGTAAGCAAGACCCATGTGTGTATAATGGCCATGCCTGACACAATGGTCTATCCAAGACTTTCAATGTGCAGCAGAGCTATTTAAACAAGTATTCTTCTTGCTACCCTCCTTCCTGCTGCTAATCAAGAACAGTAAGGTAATTAAAGGTGTATGACCTATTTTACTGGACAGGACAGGAGTTTTGTTCTCTTGTATATTGCCCCTGATTGACATTTTCTAGCAAAACTTCCATCATGGCTAAAGCTGCTCCTGACATTGTGTTGATGACAGCTGCAGGTTCTCATTTCTATCATTAAATGACTGAACATTTCATGTGCTACATAGAAGACTCCTCCAAACAAAATGGAATGGAGGATTGCTGTAAAACTGGTAACTCTTATTTGCATAGCAAAGCAAATAGAATTACTTGACAGTTAGCTCCAAAGACACCTTCCTAATTCTGGGGCAGTAGTGCCCCAGTGTCAAAATGACATCTTTACAGTCATGGAGTGAAATTTTTGAAGTCTTCTAGTTGTAGCCTGTTACGAAATCTTTCATTTTAGAAGAAAAATCCCATCAGGACAGATTCTGATGTACAACTTACTCCAGTTGATTAGAACTGAAATCAGTGGGGTTAAACTCAAACTGGGATCAGACTGGCATAGATCACTCTGACTTGCAGCACCTGTAGCACACTCAGAGACCACGCAGCACTATATGCCCACATGATTTGAACTGGCAAGTGCCCAGTAGAGAAAGATTTAGAAGCTCTGGGAAAGCATGTGACTTTACTTTTGCATGAATCCAAGTTGGAAATGTCATGGAACATAGAGAACTAACAGAAAGCCACTTCTCAATACTGTATGCTATCTTTAGGAACAGCTAAACAAGTACAAGTCAGTATGACTTTTTTTGTTGTTTTGAGATTTTTCTTTCACATAGGACAAGTTTATAACTAATTCTACAGATTTCTAAAGGCAGCCCTCCATCAGTCACTAATTTTGTACACATCTTAATTATTTTCCATCATATTTTATTACCAAGAGTCTTAAAATACATTTATCAGCTAAATAATAAATGTTCTTTGTCTCTATGCAGGAGATTTTGCTGTGCTGCTGAGTACAGGGCTTCCCACGAAGACTGCAATTTTGATGAATTTTATAAGTGCACTAACAGCATTCTTAGGACTTTATATTGGCCTTTCTCTATCGACTGACCCATCCATTCAAAACTGGATTTTTACTATTACAGCTGGAATGTTCTTGTATTTATCTTTAGCAGAAATGGTGAGAACTTCAGTCTATTTTTATGTTTTCCTTATAGCATAGCCACATCATCGATAAGTGTCAGAAAAGTGCAGGGGGATGAACTTGGAGAGAAAAAGAGCAGTGCTTAGAAAAGTAATCTGTTTTCCTTCTGTTTCACTTTCATGCTAGGTGTCATTATAATGAAAAGGGGAAATAACGACCATGAAGAGACTAAAATAAGAGAAAAGAATAATGAACTTCTAGAGTATTTTTTTAAAAATATTTTAAAGATTTCTAAACAATGTATTTTTAGTTATTTTAGTTATTTAGTAAAACATATATTTGAACCTTCAGGGGATATAATGATCTTGAAAAAACTGGTTATTTTTTTCTTTTTCCTGCCCTTTTCTTCATATATTTTTCACCCATTGTTTCAATGCAAATTTGCTGTTTCAGAACTAAAATGTAAGGTGCTTATCCTGAACACTTCTATTCTGTCCTAGGGAGGTTTCAATTAGCTCTTAAGCATTAAAAAAACCTTCAGATTACCTCAACTTTTTAATAGCTGCCCAATATTTTTCATACTCCCAGTAAAATTGCAATGATCTGCCAATAGAAAAATAAGGTGTGAAGATAGGAGGTAGGAGGAAGGTCTAAGGACTGAGCAAAAATGTGGAGCAATCATAGCTCATGCAGATGCCTCAGGCCACATAATTTATTGAAGAGATGGATTACTGTTACACATGCAGAACTTAAATGCCTGCCCAGCTTTGTCACTTGGCTCTTTAACCATCATGTGTTGATGTAGGGTTTTTTGCAAGCTCCTCCACAAAGTTGGAATGTTTTGAGTGGGTAGATCAAGAGTGAGAAAAAAAAGTCTCTCCATAAATTATTACTTTGTTTTTTCCCACTGCTGTCTATCTCTCCCTTGTGTTTGTTACCACGTCATGCCTGAGATGCCCTTTACCAGGTTCAGGCATCATACTTTATACCTGATATGCCATTCCAGTATTATAACCTATTTAAAATTCTACTTACAGTAATTCATCTTAGGCCTCCTTAGTATTTTAGTCTATTTTTGCTATTGTAAGTAAAGTAAAAGGAACATAAAATTCACCTAAGAGCTCAAGATGGAACTGCCAAAGGATTGTGGATGTGTCAACAGTCCTGACTGAGGTAGTAAATAACAGACAAGAACACTGTGTACCAAGTTGCAGCTTGTTCTGACAGGGAAATTTGGAAGTGAGGCTGCCTACCAGCTGTGTAGGCATGGTTTTACTAATGGGGCAAAGAATGATGTACACATATTTTTCCTCCAGTGTAGGATTGGCATCCATCAGGGATCCACAAGCTTCTAGAACAATACCAAGTTTTTCCCTGAGTCTTCAAAGCCATGTGCCAGCTGTAAATCCCAAGAGGAAACATAGTTCCAGGCAGAGACAGGGACATGTTTTCCCTTGTTCTCAGCTTGTCATCATAATCTTGGTCTTGATGGGAAGGGAAGAAAGAAGGGAAAGAGGGAAGAGAAGCTTATTTCTCTCAATCCCTTTTATTAATAAAACTAAGCAGCTTTTCTCTGCATTTTGTCAAAAGAACTGCCATTGGGTGGCTCACCTGCCAGTGTCAAACATCACAGGGATTATTTTATTTAAAAAAAATATTTATTCAGCATTGCAGCCATCTATAGATCTGAAAAGATTTGTATGTTTGTATAGTACATCTCAAGAGAAAATGAGCCATTCTTTATGTATTTTTCTACTTGCTGCACAGAACTAGGTTCTACTTTCTGCTGCACTCTCATCTACAAACAACAGTTACCAGTGCTCCTGCCAATGGTGTACAAACTTCTAATAGTACACAAAGTTTGACTGTAATTTTCAGTACTTGTTTTATGGGCTTTCACATATTCATGTGCTTGTCAGAATAGCAGTTAAATAAAACTGAACATCCTCACTGGTTTCTGCACTTAGGAACATTGAGGGGTGTGAATGGAGGTTTGTTGACAGAACAGCACTGTGAGACTGCCACCACAGACGAAGTAGCACAAATCTACTTCTGTGGTTAATTAAAGGTTTTTCATTTCTACAAATGGCATTTTAACTCCATTAGCAAGCTGGATAGAGACTAATGATTTCAGAAACTGAATAAGGGACAAAAGATAAAATCACTTATATCCATCATGTTTCACCAAGAAATTATGCAAAACTGAAGTTTACTGTGACTAATTTAAAAAAATGTTTTCAATTTTGAAGATAAGGGAGTAGTTTTTAAAGGGATTTACTGGACTGTTGCAGTGCATCAGCCATGCCATATGTGTCCAGCTTGGTAAGAACTCTTTTTTAGCCAGTAAAATGCTAAGCCTGGCATGCCTTCTTTCAGCAGGCTGCTTCCTAATTCTTCTTATCTTTTGTGCACTAATGATAACATGAGCTGGAGTGGAACAGAGCAGTCCCTTGAGTAGCTGTACCTCTTTTGCCTCTGACAGACTTGAAGCATTAGCAAGTGTGAGCTTCCAACAGCTTAGATGTGGTGCTATGTTCCCTTAATTTTGAAGTGGTTTGCATCTGCCAGTTGAATAGGATTATGCTTCTTAAACAACAAGATTCTCTCTGCTATACCACACACTTTTTTGTTCAGAGAGAGTTGAGTAACTATAGCTGATATTGTGACAGCAGCCATTTTATTTTAACAGATAAGCAGGGATATCACACTAGGTATGGCAACAGAAATGGTTTGTGTGTTGATTACATGCACATAGGTTAGATGGAGGGAGCAGACATCAGCATTGGACATGGAAAGGTTACTGCTTGCTAAGAATTCCTTTTGAAAATTATCTCAGGAACCTCCTGTGCATGTGTGTCACTCGTAAATTTTCACTGAGAGCAATAAATAAATTGTCACTGACAGAAATGAAAATTCAATTTTGCAACGGGATTTTTTTCCTGTTTGGAGAACTTTTCACTCAGGCACTGGGGAAGAGGAAAAAATAGACTGATTATAAGGATAAATAAGAAAGACTAAACATCTAGACTGGAACCCTGGATTCAGGCTAGGTCTTAATTAACAGTTTTTTACTCATATCCATGAAAAATTCTGTGTGCTCTGAGCACTTAAAACTGTCAGTTCAGATTTTGATTTACATCAGAACTTTGAGGTGTTTACACTTGTTTTAGATTAAAAGTTTCTGATTATCTTTAAACACTGAGCAAATATAACTACATAAGTTTCTGTACTGTAATTTAAATCACTGCCTGGTTGTAATGAAGATCCAAGGCATTTGGGTTTTCCTGTTATTTTCAGGCAAAACTTTAAAGTGGAGGCAGATTTTTCAGCACAGTTTTGTTTTGGGCCCATGCCAACTTTCAGAGAAAGAAGAATGCAGAAGAAGCAGCCCCAGAGACCCCCCCTCTGACAGAGGGAAGGACAAGCATAGCAAACACTCCTGTTAACCTCCTTGGTCAGCACCACTCCACTGTCTCCCAGTGGCTGTTGGTGTTACAGCTACTGTGAAGAGCCTCCAAAGTGCACAGGAACTCAGTAGTTTTTTATTCAAGCACAGAAAAAAACACACAACCAAAACCAGAGGTCAGCACCAGACTACTGCTCTCTATTTATTTTGAGAGTTGATTTGACAGTATTAGCAGTCGTAAGTGTTTCCCCTGAATAAAACAGAAATATTAAGAGAATTTGAGCCTGAGGCATCATTTTTGCAAGGTCTGTTTAGACACATATCTAGTTTAAACCTTTGATAAAATACACTGTGTAGAGTGAAAGGTCAATACAAGTAGCCTTTATTATGATTATAAACAAGTGTTGCTCCATTACATGATTTAAAACTCATAGAGAAAAATACTAAACATGATTTTTTCAAGCATATTTTAAAAGTCCTGTTTTCTACTTGTACATTTACTAAAGCCCAAGTAAATAGGAGTGTTGCCAGTTATTTCAGAAAAAGCATGATTGACCCTATATATAGTACTGAAGCAAAAAATACTCCAGCTAGTTCATTCCCACAAAAGGAAATCACTAATTTTACTAAATAAGCATTTCCTTGCAGACAGCTGTATAAAATTACTACAAAATATTGAGAAGTTAACAAATTTCAGAATCTTGTTTATAATTCTTGTCAGTGATAGTAAAAGAACCGAAGTGGGTAAAATTTGATTAATTTAAATATTTTGTCATCAAGATCAGCTTTGTCAAAATGTACAGAAAATACTACACATTAATAGTATAGTCAGAAGCTCAATATTTTGAAAGTTGTTTTTTTTAAATGAAGTTTGCCTTGTTTTCCCATAACTTTTTTTTCCCACAGATGAATGTATCTGGCTCTCATTCTGCTGTCTTATTCTTTTTTTAGCTTCCTGAAATGACTCATATTCAGACACGGCGACCCTGGTTGATGTTTCTCTTACAGAACCTTGGATTACTATTAGGCTGGCTTTGCCTCTTACTTTTGGCTGTATTTGAACAGAAAATCAAAATATAAGTTTTCTGTTGGAAATCTCGAAGTACCACTTATGACAGTGGATAGAGCATTATTCACAATTTGTCATGTCTGCCATAGTGATATGTAAATTAAGTTGCTGGGATTTTATATCTGAACAGTAGATAACTATTTTACTTTATTAACTTATTGTTCAGATTTTTGTAATTATTTTTTTTTGTAAACATGAATGTTTAGAATTATGTTTTATTTGTTACTGAGTTTACCAGATCCCATGCTCAAACTCACAGGAGCTTTTAATTAGTTTTTATTGAGACTGTTCTAGTTGAATGCTATAAGTGATCTCTGCCAGTCTGATTGAAGAAAAGAATAAAACACTTTTATATGCAATAATTAAAGTGGACTAACCGTAGCTGAATAATTTGAATACAGAATGTTTTTTCACCTTTTAGTACAAAGAATTATTTCTTTAAATCTAAAAAGAGTAGCAAAGCTTAACTGCTAAATGGCATAAAGCAATTTTATAAAGTCTGCACTTTCTACTTTGTCAACATAAAGATTCTCATCAGTTTCATCTTACTGGTCCACTGTGGCAGGAAAAAAATGACAAGTGTAAATGTTGAAGTTTATGCTACAGAAATTTGGGAATATTCTTTTCTGACTATAATACCGTTTCTCATATGTGTGATGGAACCTGTGACAGTCAAGCACTGGACTAACCACCTTTTGCATTATCTCACCTCTGGTGAAATGAGCAACTGCTTATGAAGGATTATAAAAAATACGTTTAAATTTCTTTTCCCTGATATCCCTCTCAGGCTCCACAAATGAAGGGATTTCTTGAGCCAAATGTTGCTTCTGAGACATCATATTCAATAAACACTTGCCTTCCTGTCAGCAATTAACTTAATCATAGATATGTGATGTGTATTGTGGAAAGAGCTTTTTCAATTGTCTACAGTGCTTTTAGCCTCATGGCAACTCCTCCCATCCTGAGTGATTTTTGTGTAATTAGTCCTCTTGATGTCAAGGTAATTCTGCCTAAGTTGAGATGATTCATTTAATCTAGTTTTGAAGAACCGGATCTGAAACAAATATACAAATTCTAGCCTGATTCTGATGTGCTGAGCAGCTTCCGGGAGGTATTAAGCAACACTCAGCTGTGTGATTTCAGCTCTTTACATGCACTCAATTTCTGGTGCAAGGACTTCTCCCCTAACTTATACTTTTGTATGAGAACTAATCTATGTTCTTTCTTTCTCCTCTGATGATCTGTGGAAGTAGGGAGAGCAAGTTACAGAACAGACATATTCTTTATGAAGCAACTGAAAGTTTTCTTTGTCTAAACTCTGTCTTGAAATATCTCTACATTATGACACAACATGACTGTCTCACAATGTGTTCTGTGCTTATTTAATAGCTCCTAGTGAAGGTACAATTATTCTCATATTACAGAGGGGAACAGTCTACTCTCCTACAGCAGACTGTCAGACCTCTTAGTTCTCAAAAGCTTCATGGGCACCATACTAACCAAAATACAAAGTGAAAAAAAATACTGAATTTCACTGTTTATGATAGCCCACACTCATGGGCTTGTGAACCCTTAGTCAACCAGTGACTAACCCTCAGGGAAAAAAACACAAACTTAGAGATAATTTTAAAAGTAGACATGCATTCATTTTCAGTGCCTGATAGTTATGAGAATCTGTAGCAAATGCCCCAATGCAAATCTAGACAAACTTAGATATGTACATACCTTCAGAAACCTTGTCCTACCCAGTTTATCCAAGGTAACACAGGAAGTCTCTGACAGTGGAGTGAACTGAGCTCTTTTTAAGGCCCAAAGTACAATCCTACCTTCTTTTTTTTAGGTGTGCAAGTACTACAGTTGCTTTTTATGTTGATGTAACGTTGAAAGGTGAATTGAGAAGCCATGTCTAATGCTTCTGTTCTCAAAGTTTACTTTTTTTCCTGGAGCTTGTCCTTGATTTTATTAAGCTAATATTTTTTAAAAGTTGTTTCTCGGTATTTCATCTGTTTGTATTGGCACCGAGTCACTTTATGACCTTCAGCTGTGACAGTCAATTCAAGCAATAGCAGAGCATCACTGGACATAAGCAAAATCTATTCTTGTATCAGATGGTACAAATGAATATTGGAAACATTCATTATTTCAGAGAAGAGTTAACGTAGTTTGAATGCTTATGTATGCCTAATGTTTGCTTCCATGGAAAACAAGATTATCAATATGATCATGTTTTGGTAATGTTATTGTATTCTGAAATATTTGTCTACATTTATTAATGTGTCTGAAAGAGGGCAAGTAATTTCTGGCAGTGTATACTTTAAAGTTGCATATGAGCATAGGTTCTCATCCAGATATGTTCTGTGAACATATTGTATCCACATCTATCAAGAAAATGCTGTCTTTTGGCTATATATGCTTATCAAGCATCTTGATCACATTTAACAACCAAATGTGTTTATACAGCTTCCACCACAGGCACAGATATGTTGATCAGAAAGCCAGTTAATCTTTATTTCTTCCACAGAACTCTTTGACTTTTGTGGTGTTTGTCAGTAAGTGAGTAGTTCTATGACCACTTTGCCCTGGTGTCAAACCTGAACACCTGAAGTCTCATCAGCATATGAAAGTTTGAATTCTTGTGGCACTTAGAGAGAACTTATCTCACTACTTAAGATTAGTGTTTCTGCTGTAAATCTCTTTACATTAGTGTCTTTAAAAATATACTGAAGGTTAAGTATTACCACATGTAAATCAAGACCTCTAGCCTTACAGAGGGCTGGAAACTGTTCCCATAGGCCATTGAAACAGAAAACTAAACAAGTTTTACACCAAAGAGATTCACCTGTCAAATATTGTTTAGTCAATGTTCTCTAAAAATTCCAAGAAAAATAATAGAATATGTTTTTGTGTCCTTACAAAAGAGAAAACTCTGCACAAGTGTTCTTATGATGCTTTCTCATTTAGTTTGTTTTAAATCTGTAGAGTTTGTTCATAGAGATTTGAAGCAGACCTGTTTTTAAAGCCGGTACATCTTTCTGTTGCTTCAAACCTAACAGACAGAGAGCATAATATGCCAATGTTTTCATTGAGTCAAATCCTGAGTAAGGACTGCAGAACTTCATCATTTGCAGCCCTTAAATCAGGACTGGGTTTCTCTGTAAGGGGTATGCAATTACTCAAACAGATGTTATGTGCTTGTTGGAGAGATTACTTGGTGAGGTTTTACAGCCAGTCAGGCAGTTCTAACTAGATAATCATAAAGTTCCTTTGAAACTTTAAATACATGAATCTATAGATAAAGGATTTTTTCTGGAAGAAGCCATTTAGCGTTTCTCCCTTTCATCTATTCTTAGTTTTCAGGCACACTTAAGATGAAATGATCTTGGTTTCTTACACAGAAAACTAGAGAGAAAAGGAAAGGTTGAAAGAATTTGTTTGCTACAGTACTTTTTCTTGGAAGTTAGATGGCAGAGGGCCTCATAAGGAATACTTCCAGTTCCAAACTACCAGCACTCCTGAGAGCTGACCTTGTACCTCTCCTTTCTGTATATGTTACACATTATCCAGTGACTCCTAAGATAAATAGTTCCTTCTTTGCAGTCAGTTATAGCAATGCCCTCAAGTTTCTGGAGCTCATCTGCGTATTTTAAATACTGTCATCTATTCCTTTACTGTATTTTATGCTTTAAACATGAATGTGGCATTTTCTCTAGAGACAGAAAAATACCTTTTTCATATAAGAGAACATGGTTAGTTTTGGTATTTACCCTTGAATTGTTTTTCTATCACCCTGCCATTGCACTTGGGAAAGCTAATTGTTATTGTAACAGCTTTAAACAGGTTTATATCTGTCTGTATCTGATGTATGGATTAAGGCTTACCAATGTTCTTAGCTTTTCTTTCTTTACTGTAACCTTTTGTCAAGCCTTCCTCTCGTTTTAAAAACAAGCTGCCTTCTATTGTGACTGTAGCTGTAGGAATGTGACTACAGAAAATACAAGCAGTAATTGCACAATGGCTTTAATCAAAACAAAAAGTTCTGCAATTTATTTTACTAGACCCACTTACATTCCCTTCTCCCCAAAAGAACAAAAAATCCACACACGGAGCTGTTGCTCTGGGTCACGTAGGGGAATGTAAGAAGTGCCTCTTTCCTTTTATGTCCCTGATAACAGGACCAAGCACAACGGGAGACCCTGCACAGACGCCGGGACGCATTGAAGTCCCTGCCAAGCTGCCGGCGGCGGCAGCGCAGAGCAGCATCCCGGGGCAGGGGTGCAGGGACCGCGCAGGGCTGGTGCCGCTCGCCCCTGCAAGGGACGGGGCGCGGAGCAGGGACTCCCGAGGGGGAGCTGCAGGGTGCCACTTCGGCACTTCCAGCGGGAGCATCTAAGGGTTTACCGCTGTCTCACCCTGCGGCAGCTCGCTGCAGGCACGTTGGTTCGTTCGTGTTGCCTGCTTTGGAAGTGAAAACTATTGTGAAAGCGGTCTGGCCGACACCCCCGTGAGTGCGGGCTCCCGCAGGGCAATAATCCACAGGAGCCCAGCAGTCAGGGTGATCCCAAGGATTCCCAGGGCAATAATCCGCAGGAGCCCAGCAGTCAGGGTGATCCCAGGGATTCCCAGGGCAATAATCCGCAGGAGCCCAGCAGTCAGGGTGATCCCAAGGATTCCCAGGGCAATAATCCGCAGGAGCCCAGCAGTCAGGGTGATCCCAGGGATTCCCAGGGAGGTCCGTCTCCACGCTACAGCTGCAGGGCACCCAGAGGGAGCGCGACGTACAGTGTCTCTCTGCCAGAGTCTCAGCTCTGACATTGCCAGAGAACACTAAGCACAGGATTACCTGTCAGCCTAAATCTGCCTGGCAACCATTTACATATTGGCCCAAGTTCATGCCGACCAGCTCTAACGCGGTGCTATAGATGTGTCTCTATGTGACATCGTTTTGTTCCACTGCAGCTGGCTGGGGATCCCTCCTCCTTTTCCCAGGAGCCAGAAGGACCTAATTTGACCCATCCAGGAGAGGTGACAAGAGATATGCATAGGGAAATAGACTGCTCAATTATTATAGCATATTCCAGTCTTGATCACACCAAATTGTCCTCCATGGACTGTCATGCTGCAGGGAGGGCAGCAGGACAATGCCTGCACTGCTCTGTTGCGTAGCTGCCCAGGCTGTCCTCATCAGGGTACAGGGTAGGTGAACAGCAGCCACAGCTCAGGCCTGGCAAGTGTTTCAGAGTATCCCAGGTGTCCCTGTATTGCTGGTGTATATCCACCAGCACTCCCTCAGGAAAAGCCTCAGGAAAACTTTCTGGCTTTTCTGGCAGGGACTTTGTAGTGCTTGTCCTTCCACCTGCTATGCAAATACTATAACCCATATGGTATAGGCTGTCACCTGTTCTTGTCCACCACCCACGCAGATGGTTTTGAACAGGTTTTTGTGTTGCCACAGTTTATTTCTTCAGAAAGGGAAACACAATGTTAAA